TGTTGTTGTTGTTGAGGCGATGGAGATGCATACCAATCAGTTGGCGTCGGTGGTTGTTGTTCTTGAACTATCATCGATGTCTGACGTTTTGTAGCTTTCGATGGAGGCAGTATTTCATTGAATGGACACAATGGAATAGTGCCCGCACCTTGTACAACACTGCTAATAACTTCGTCAATTTGTTCAAGTACATGAGGAGCAACAGCTGAAATTGAGAAAGTTATTTTTTTCTAAAGAACTGTAAAGTAAGTGCAACTTCTTAACTGACGCTTTAAAAATGAGCGATGACTTACATAACATCGGATCAAGTCTAACTTTTTGTTCGGGAATTTGTATATTATCCGACATGCCATCAGACGTCTACAATGGAAATACAGAACATAAATTACATTTCTCCTAACTAAATTACTAAAATCTTTACCTTTTCATTTAAATCAGTAGTCAATCGTTGTTCATCGAACGACATTGGTTCAGGTTTGATTTGCTGTTGCGCTGATTTTTGTTGTTGTAATCCATTATTCTTTTTCCTTGTCGATTTCTTCGCTGTTGTTGATGGTGTTGGCTCTTGTTTTGGTGATGTTTGATTTTGAGGTGAACTTATACCGCTAGGTAATAATAATTGATTATGAGAAGCAGATTGAACTGAGGAAGATGGTGAGAATTGTGACGATTGTTGTTGAGAAAAATGAGATGGCGAATGAAGAAGCATATTTTGAGGTGTAGCGGGTTGAGATTGATGATGATGAAAGGGAGATGGTGAAGGCTGTGACTGAGAATGATGATGCAATTGATTGGGATTGTACTGGGATTGCTGAGATTGTTGAGATGGATGTATCTGTTGTTGTTGAATATGCGATTGAGCTGGAATACTGCCGTCCGACTTCAAATGAGAAACAATATGAGTTAGTAGCTATCATGATAACTTAATCTAGATATTAAGAAAATTGGAAAACATCCGTCAAAAACGTTGAAAATAACTCATTTTCCCTATAAAGTAGGTTTTTTTACAACACGGCATCAACGCATTTCGCCTTACCATTCTCTGAAATGTTTGAGCAATTTCTCCTCCACTTTGATTCGGTCCAGATGTTGCTGGTTGTTGTGCTGTAAATTGTAAATATTGATGTGGTTGTTGCTGCGATTGATTTGGTGTAAAAATAAATCTTGTTGGTGCTCGACCACCAAATCCTGTTTCTTGTCCACTACTTTGAACTAAAAATCTTGTCGTACTACCTGGCATACCGATAACCGTTTGTCCCATTAGTTGTGGGGGTGGACCAACAGATCGTGGCCCTCCTGATAATGTTCGTGGCATTATAATTGTACCACCTGGGCCTTGTTGCTGCTGCTGTTGTTGTTGCTGTGTTTGTTGCTTTGGTAACATCATAATTGATTGACCCGGTAGGCCTATAAAATAAAAATAAAGCAAACATCAAAAACTTACACGTAAAAGGGTCATAAAGAAATGCGTTGAACAGAAAAAATGGATAAGACATATGTTGTAGAAGGAAATATATTTGAAATAGAAATGACTTTTTGCTTTTTAAGAGACTGCAAACATGTCTACTTGGGAATACTAAAGTTTAAAGAAAACAAGAGTGCCTCTGATTTAGCAACAGATATACCATTCATTACACCTTTTATCTTCACCAATTTTTTGTTCTTACCATAATGTTGATGATGTCCGGGAGATGCTGCTATTATTTGTGTCGCTTGATTTACATGTATGTATTGTTGCGTCTGTTTGGGTTGAGGTGGCGGAAACTGTTGTTGAATGATTGAGGAATACATGTCTGTTTTTTGTGATTGTTCATGCTGATGAGCAATGAACATTTGTTGTTGACTTTCTTGTTCTTGCTGATAGAATGGAGATGTATTGGTGTCGTCCTTGGAAGAAGATGAGGATGAGGATTTATTATTTTGACGATTGAAATGAGGGGATGGATGGGGTATTCCGACTGGTGTTAAACGCGACACAGACGGAGGGGTTGTTTCAGTAGAGGATCGAGGAGTTCGAGGCGGATGATATTGTTGAGGTGTTTGTGGTTGGTGATCAAAATTTGGAGAGTAATGAGGACTAAAATAGACAAAAAAACATTTTTAAACACAGAAACTACTATGTAATAAATTAAAATAACTTACTCGGGTTGTGGTGGAAAACTAAAACGAGAAGGCTGTGGTTTTGCTGTAACAACTTGTTGTGGTTGCTGAACTGGATAAGAGTTTGAACGAATTATCATCGGGGCGTACGAATCTGACGAAGGATGATTAAATATATGTTGTTGTTGTTGTTGTACTGGCGGTTTATGTTGGAATTCGGATGAATCTAAATGAAAACAACAACAATTTTATCGTCAGAATCTGGTTTTTACTTATTCATGGTACATAAATGTTAGTAAATTCAAGCAGAAATCAAGACATCAACATCATCAAGTTGCTGGGAACAAAAAACGTACCATGTCTATTTGTTTGCTGTTGTTGGCTCGATACATTATTTTGTTCATTCATCGAGGATGGTGGTGCTGTT